CCTCTTGTTCCATCTGTTCACCCTATACAATTATCTGCATGCATTTGTGCAGCGTGTCATCACATTCTTGAGCAGCACGCTTCAGCTTTTTACGCCAACGCAACAAGGATGCATCAGTGACCTGCCACTTATCAGATATATCGAGAGTAGCCTCCAGCCGGATGTGTGCCATCTCTAGGCTCTCCAAGTTTCTGTTCACATTTGATTCCTCTTTCTCCTCGTATTTTTGAACCAGCCCAGATAGGATTTGGCTAATTGTTTCCTGGATAACTGCGGAGCTAACCATGTCTGCCATGAGTATTCAAGCATATGTAACACCCCTTTCCTGCTCAACAAAAGCAACATATAACAGTATGCATAAGAACTTAGATATATGAACTTGAACCACAAGTAAAAAAATCTTTCTTAGTAGAAGTCCGAATCTACCTTGACAGAATAGCACTAAAACGGTTGACAGTAATCCTGTGTATAGAGAGATGGTCTGGATACTACAACTGAACTTGGAGATGAGAACTTAAAAAGACAACAACACAGTCCAAGACTTTAGGAGGAAAAAGTTGAGACATGTCCATTAATATGGAGGTGTCCCATAGTGAGGGTGTGGAAGAATTCGTCCCTGAAAAGGCCACCGAGAGAAAATGTTGATTAGAGAAGCATTATTTGACTTAATTCCATTCTGTGTCAGGATATGATTAGCCAACCTGAACCGATGGAAGAAAAGTTGAAGAAGTTGATTTGCATGAGCAATCACATGGAAGGTGGTGTTGTAACTATCAAAGTGACATGCAACAACTTGAAGAATTGTCATCAGGCAGTGGTGTATAAGGTGCTCAGAAGTCGGAAAAGTCTCAGCCGTCTCCACATGAAAGATGCATGCCTTGAAAAGGGCTGCTTTGTCCCTGGCAATTGCCAGGGGAAGGATGAAGCAAATATGAGTCCTTTCAAATAATTTCTTGCAATGTGCCAATCGCCGTTTCTATGTTTCTAAGCCCTCATTGCTTGCTGTTGTGAAATTTGGTTCATCGGGTTGTTGTTTAGGAAACGGTACACTATGCCTGATGCGTCAAACTGCAGATGAGGGACTAATTGTTGGGGACCAAAAAGAAAAAGAAACTGTATCCATCTTGTAATTGTAGTTTTAGAGAAGAAAAAATTTATTGCAGTCTCTACAAGAATTTTACTTTTACACACATCCAATTCGTCCGTGTGACTACTTTCACGCTACCTCTGAAAAGACGACTACAACTATAACTGACAGAGGTTGAGACCGAACCAAATGGAGGATGACAACTAAAAATATAATTCAGAGATTGACCAAATGAAGGATGACAACTAAAAATATAATTCAGAGATTGACACCGAACCAAATGGAGGATTTGATCCCACATGAACACATACCACATTTGTGGCCAAAGAGAGATTATCTCCAAGACTAGCTCGAGCATCTGTAATCCCTTACCAACGCGAGCCAAATGAAAGGCTCCTCTTCTACTCTAGTTCCAGTAAATGCCAACGAGCGGAGAACACTGCGGAACGGAAGGGATAGGTCCTGTGTCTTGGGTGAGATGGTGGGGAGTGAACCGAGCATACCTCAACTGCGCCTGTGCGTGCTCGGTGCTGCCATCTCCGGGTGGTCGTCCTCCTCGCCCTCCACGCCGCCGCACCGTAGCCGCCGTGGCTGGCTCTGCGGCGTACATCCTCCGGCGTCCTCCTGCCTGGCCAATCAGAAGCAGCCGAGCAGAGCAGGTTTTTGCGGGGTTGGGTCGTTGGGATGGGCTTGGCTGGGCCGGGCCGGGCCGTGTCAGTTCCACAGAGGAGCAAACAAGGACCAGCTTGAATTGATAAACGAGTCTTTTGGGAACCACGTAGACGACGGGCTTGGTTCCGACGTGTCAATTGCACCCTCGGTTGTTTGGACTTTTAGATTTTGGAAATAGAGCAGCACACAAAACGTACTAGTATTTGATAAGACCACAAGAGGATCTCCAAAAGTTCCCCAAAATTTGATCCTATTTTATACTAGTAACATTTATTGCCTTCAATATTTCTCTTCCACAACACTACTAGTTTCTTTATACCTAATTCGCTAAATTTGAAGAATGTCCCATAAGAAATATGGGGCTACAATTTTTATTGATTTTGTCTTCCATCTAGTCAGGTGTTCGGCTGCAGAAAAAAGCAACAGCAACAAGTAGTTGCTTCTTTTTGTAGCCGACACCCCTTAGAGTACCCATTGTCCCACTATTGACGCAATCATCCAAGCCATGTGATGGAACTAACATGTGGCGTTAGGCCGAAGGTGTTGGAGGGCATGCGGCACTTAGCTGCCAGAATGGCGAGACACATAGCAACGGCATCGCTTGGTTGCTGGCATGAGGGGGGCACATCTAGCTCAATAATATTCCACTACTATAAAAATAATTTTAGTTGACAGCTCCTTTGATTTTTAGAAGCGATCAGCCTATTTACAGAGACACTAAGCAAACCATCATTTTCTGCTAAAAAAAGCAAACCATCATTTTTAGGAAATAAATAATAAATAAGGATCATTTACGGAGACGGATCTCTCGTCTCTTAAAAGATTTATCTATAAATATAGGCCGGAAGCCCACTATACATCATCCAGTCCACCTTAGCCTGTCATATCAAACCCTAGCCACTTATCTCCTGCCTAGCCACCACTCATTTCACTCTGTCTTCTCTTTCCTTCCCTTCCACTCTCACATGCTTGATACCCCTCCCCCTCTCTCTCATACACTCGTACACCCCCTCCTCTCCCTACAATAGCTTAGGGAGGCACAAATCCAGTAGCACGATTGAGGGCGGTGGAGGGATGGGCATAATTAACCAAAACCGAAAAACCAAACCAAAGAACTAGAACCGAAACTGAAAAATTCAGTTTCTTATTCGGTTCTAGATAGCAAGGAACTAAAATAACCGAAAAAATTTGGTTCCTACTCTCGGTTAACAGAATTAACCGAAGAACCAAAACACATGAATTGTACCCCACTTACTTGTATTTTGTAAGACTACACTTGATTTATGTGTGATGTCTCATATTTGAATTGCTCAATATTTGTGCTACTATATTGCTATTGTTCCCTTTTCAATTATTATTATCTAAAATAGAGGTATCGTCACCAAAATTGGGTTTAGAACATGTATATTACCTTTTGTTGTCTTAACCTTTGTTGAAAAAATTCGGTTTGTTTGGTTAGAGCCAGAACCAAACTGAAATAATCAAAATAGAAATGCCCAGTTCCCAAAAATTTTAGAACCAATCGGTTCCTATTTTCTAGGAGCCGAATTTCTTTAAAATCCAAGTAAGCGCCTGTTTGAATCCTCTCCTCTAAACTTTAGAGCTCTAAAAACTTTAGAGGACTTTATTTTAGTTTTAAGGTCTAATGCTCTAATGTGAGATGAGCTGAAGTTTAGAGCTAACTTTAGGCCACCTGTTTGGAACTTTAGCTCTAAAGTTTAGAGCTCTAAAGTTTAGAGGGGGAAATACAAACATGCCCTAACTAAACCAAAAGCGGAATGCACACCCCCTCCCCTATCAACCGGAGATAGTGATGCACCATGTATGCTGTGGCAGGGAGCAATCCAAGGTGGTAGCACTGTACACATGCGCGGAAAAGGGTGTGATCGAGGGTGGCACGCTTTGTGGTGGTATATCTAGGTGCATAGTAAAAGCTATGTATTTAGAAAAAAGCCAAAACCACTACTACACTAAAGATTATCGCAGATGGTCAAAATTGGTTTCCGGAGGCGGGCAAACAATTCGTCTATGGTTTAACGTCTGTGTAAATCGGCATTTCTAGAGGCGGCCAAATGCCCACATCTGGAAATAGATTAAAAAAACAAAAAAAATCAAAAGCTTGCTAGAGAGCCTATTTCGGAGCCCGCCTACTTCCATGTGCCCGCCCCCACCGCTGGTGTGGCCCCTGCAAGCCTACCACCACCAGGAGAGGACCCGCATGGCCCTCACGTGTCCACCACTGTAAGGAGGGGCCCCGCGAGGCCACCGACGCCGGTGCCGCCCCTAGTGGCTCTGCCATTGCTAGGGGAGGGCCCACGCGCCCTTCGCGCATGCGCCCGCCATGGATCCACCATTGATGGGAGGGCCTTGTGTGACCGCCGCCGCCGTAGCTGCCCCGCGTGGCCGCCATGTGTGCGCTGCCGCCCGGTGCCACCCTCTCATGCCCCTCTGTTGCTGAGGGAGATGAGAGAGAGTCCAGATCTGAAAGGGTTGAGAGAGCCAGTTGTGTGTGAGAGAGAGAGAGAGCTAAGGAGCACCCAAAACCTAACTCATGTATATATACGTGAACATAGGTAATGGCCCTCCAGGGCCTCGTGGGGCTCGGACCTTTTTCAGGTCGAAAATGGACTATTTTTGACAGATGGACTATTTTTTACCATGTCCATTAATCTATTTTGAGAACAGACAATTTGTGACTGCCTCCGTATATAAAATGACCGCCTCCGAAAAGGGGTCAAAACGTGTCATGAGGTTCACCCTAAGCTTCCATACAAAATGCATCGAGTTCAAATGTTCTTGGTCCCAAATATATTTAGATAGTTCAGTAACTCACAGGGATGTGGACAGCCAACTGAAAGTTCTTCACCAAAGTTCAAAATAGCAGTATATAGATAAATAGCATGGCAGTATATTTTATTGTGCACAGTCAAGTCTGCAAAGTCGCTAAAAAAAGGACGTGCAAACAAAGAACAAAATATGCATAATCACAAGAAAATATATACATGAGCTTGTTTGTAGAGGGAAATATAAACTAGTATGTAGTATCATATTGTTAGACAACATATTACATGACCAAAAGCTCGGCACAGTGTCACCGCCACATACAAAAGAACACCCTACTTATCAAGCACTTTTGTACAAGTTGTCGCCATTCATGATCATGACCTTATCAAAGTGGCAAATGCTGGGGCTCTTGGTTGAACCGAACAGCAATGGCATATACTCCATTGGCTAATAAGCATTAGTTCCTCTTTGATGACTCTCGCTTGAATGGCCTTCTCTTCACAAGTCTCAGGATATTTGACTTACCATTGTATTTGGGTGCACTTGCTGTTCCAGGGCTTGGTTTTCGCACGATGAAGTACGCAACACCGTGTCCTGCATACAAACGCATTCTATAATCCGATAAATCAGGCTGGCGAATGTAGCAGTCAATCGCCTTTAATCGCACCATCTCATCCATTTGGTGCAAGCTCTCACTTATCGGCTCTGCTTTCCCTTCAATGACCTCAACCCCAGTCTTCCCATGCATGCATTCATTGCAGAAGTGAGGCGCGAAGCCCACTCCCAGCTTGAGAGGCGGCCAATCACCCACCGCATTTCTGTCAGCTCCTTCTGCTGATGTGCTATGCAAGTTGGTGCACTCAGAGGCCAAAACATAGCATTCAACATGTACTAGTATAACCTGCTCTGGAAATCTGCATGACAGTTCTGATGGTGTGTTGTATCTAGCACAACCGTTTGGTTTGCAACATAATGCATCCTGCCGCCAAAACTTGGTGTCCCTGTGACACAAATCTTGCATGCTGAAACATGGAGCAAAAGTGGTTGAATGAGAAATATCTTGCAGAGGAAGTCGAGTGAGTTCTCCCATTATAGCTTCAGCCATATGCTTCATCGAAGATGTGAATGACTGCAAGCATGTTATCGCAGTCCCGACAATGTCCGTGCTCTCTGACAATCGCAGCATCAGTGCGAAAGCAAAACTTCTCGTCGGCATCTTGCAATCTTCGTAGAGAAATTCAAGCGCTGCCTCCACACCACGCCCTTCCACACACATGGGCCATATGTGAAGACGACGGAGTATGCTTTCCTGCTTCTTGTTATACTGCACAGTTTTGCCCTGAAGAAGTTTCCTGACAAGAGAGTTGGAGAACATGCACCGCTGAGGTGAGCATCCAGACTCCACATCTTTGAGAAAACGGTTGGCGCATTCTGCCAACCACTTAAATCTTCGAACATCCGAGCAGTCAGTGCTGTCTTTGCAAAACCCAGCAAAATAGGAGGATATGGATGATTGAGTCACCTGTGCAATCCATTTAGTGAGGGAGGAGTTTGTTGCCGGTCGCTCCATCTCTAAAATGTCTGTTGTTTGCTGCTTGTTGCACCTGTGTAGCAGATATTCACAGTCCTCAAAGGCTCTTTCCAGCAGCTTCCTTCGCCGTAGCAGGGACACATCTGTGATGGGCATTCTTGCAGATCTTTCGAGTGCCAGCTCCAGTTCGGTGTGTGCCATCTCAAGTCTCTCAACATAATGTCCTCTGGATGCCATCTCCTTGTTATCATCAAGCTTGCTGAAGAGGTAGGAGGTGACTCTGTTCACGGTCTCTTGAACAAAAGCTGAAGCCAACATATTCGCCATGAGGATCACTTATGCTGACTCACTCTCAGGAGTTCAGCTATTCTATACAGGAAGTAGACACAGTTGCACTTATAAGCAGAAGCAGTTAATGGTGGAACTGAAACATGTGGGTATCGGAGAAAATCTCATACCTTACTGGAGTATTCGTATCTGTCGTGAGCATCCTACTTGGGAACTGCTCAAGAAATGGTGATCAAGGGGGAACTCACTTGTTCACACCTTGCTTCTTCTATCAATACAGCTGTGCCACTGTGATATATAGACTGTAATAGAGATAAGGAAACAGGAGTACTAGTCAAGTTATTGCTAGGGGTTTGACAAAGTGTGTGGAGGGAGGAATTCCTCCCTGCAATGAGCAATCTCTGACAGCCTGGCACCTTGACCCTGTTTTGGTCAAGCACAATATTGAATTCCAGTAAACACACTAACCATTGCTGTGTTGCTGAAGCCTCCTTGCCACCTTGGTAGAATGTGCTAATCATCTAGGATAGGAGACATTCATCACATCCTATCCATAATCCATCTGGTCGCCTTCTAAGATTCACTGCTTGCATATGTGCAGTGCGTCATCACATTCTTGAGCAGCACGCTCGAGCTTTGTTATGCCAACGCGACAAGGATGCATGAGTGACCAGCCACTTATCAGATGTCGCGAGAGCAGCCCCCAGCCCGATGTGTGGTATCTCTAGCCTCCCAATGATTCCACTTTCTCCTCATATTTTCGAACCAGAATAGATAGGATTTGGCTAACTCTCTCCAGGGTACTGAATATATTCTCTGTCAGCATTCAAACATATAACGCACCCGTTTCATGCACTAAGCAAAAGCAACACATAACAGTATGTGTAAGAAAGTAGAAAGTGACATGGATATATGTGTGGTATGAGGGGTGTGGAAGAACTGCTCTCCATTCTCCACAAGGGAAAAATGTCGATTAGAGAAGAACTAATAATCGACTTAGTTTTGTGGCTGAATATATCTATACCTAATAATAAAGAGGCAAAATTTCTACCACGATTTTTTTTGTCCAACTCTACTCTCTATTCGGATTCCGGTTTTGTCAGAAAGGCAAAATTTCTGCCACAACCTTTTTTCGTCCAACTCTAATCTCTATTCGGATTCTGGTTTTGTCAAGTAATCCTCTTTTCAACGTCCTGTTCAGTTTAGATCTAATCTTTAATAATTTTGCTTTCCTTGGTTTTTGTATCCCCACCTCCAACGTGATGGACTCCCCATATGAATTAAATTGGGCAAAGCGAATACAATACAATGACTCAATAAATAAATTGAATACATATCAGTGCAGGCGAGGCGGTGTGAAAAGATGTTGGGGCCGGAACGATGATGGCGCGAGGTGTGGAGACGATGGCGAGGTCGGGCAATGGAGGCACAACCTGAGACGGCGACGTTAGTGAGACCGAGGCGAGGATGTGCGACAGCGACGGCGCAAGGCGAGCTCAAGGAGAGAGGAGACAGTGACGCAGACGACGCTGCCAAGTCATTGGGGCGTGCAACCGCCAGGGCTCCATCGCATGGCTATGACTATCCCATTCTGTATCAGAACACAGCCAAGTCCCTGTCTAGATGCATCACAATAGACCACAAAGTCTTGCTGAATGACAGGCAATGCTAGAACAGGGGTGGTAGTAAGCTTCTGCTTCAAGGTTTGGAAGCTTTGTTCGCACTCAGACATCCACTCAAACTCATTGGTCTTCTTCAGCAGGTTGGTCATCGGCTTGGCTATCTTGGAAAAGTTCTCAATGAAGCGACGATAGTATCCTGCCAACCCAAGGAAACTCCGGATATCAGTCATATTGTGGGGTTGCTCCCACTCTTTCATAGCTTCAATCTTGGCGGGATCGATAGCCACTACCTTAGCAGTGAGAATGTGACCCAGAAAGGCGACTTCTTCAAGCCAGAACTCGCACTTGCTGAACTTGGCATACAGTTGATTCTGCCTCAGCTTCTCTAGCACTACTCTCAAATGCTGCTCATGTTCTTCTGCAGTGGCCGAATAGACAAGAATGTCATCAATGAATACCACCACAAACTTATCCAGCTCTTCCATGAATACCTTGTTCATCATATTCATGAAGTAGGCCGAGGCACTAGTGAGTCCAAAGGACACAGCGGTGAACTCATACTGCCCATACCTAGTGACAAAGGTTGTCTTAGGAATGTCCTCGGTCCTAATCTTCATCTGATGGTACCTAGATCGGAGATCAATCTTGGAAAAGAACTTGGCATTCCTCATCTGGTCTAGCAGATCATCTATCCTCGATAGTGGATACTAGTTCTTGACAGTCATGGCATTCAGGTTTCGGTAATCAATGCACATCCTCATGGAACCATCCTTCTTCTTCGCAAACAAGACAGGGGACCCTAGGGTGAAGCATTGGGTCTAATGTACCCCTTGTCAGACAACTCCCTAAGCTATTTCTTGAGTTCTTCTAGCTCATCAACCGACATGCGGTTGGGCCTCTTAGCAATAGGTCCCGTACCGGGCAAAAGGTCTATCACAAACTCCACATCCCGATCAGGTGGCATACTTGATAGTTCTTCAAGAAACACATCAGGATATCCGCACACTATGGGTACCTCCTCGACTGACTTGGTTTCCAAGGCACACAACATGGAAACTGTCCTCTCTAGGTTGGGCTCACATCGGATCACGTGACCACTTGGATGGGTTATCTCCACATACCTTGGTGAGCAAGATATTACCCCTTTGTGTTGAGTCAACCAATCCATCCCCAGTATGACATCCAGTCCATCAGAGGGAAGCAAGGTAAGATCGGCTAGAAAAGGGTGACCCTCAATAGTGATGTTTACTCCGTAACATCTCTTGGTGCATCTGATGTTGCCCAAAGGTGAGCTAGTGTCTATGGGTACTCTTCATGGAGTTATAGGGAGGTTATACTCTCGTGCAAACTTGGTGGACATGTATGAACATGTAGCACCAGAATCAAACAATACTGAAGCCCTAGATCCATGCACTAAGAACATATCGTACACCACGTCGGGGGCATTTTGGGCGTCCTTAGCTATAGGTGGGTGACACGACTGTGGGTGGGTCCCATGGTGTGCTTGTCTGGCGTACCCTGAACAGGAGCCTATCTCGCTGGGGTCGAAGTTGGTGGTGTAGCGTTCTTCACAGGGCAGTCAGCAACCTTGTGGCCCGGCTGGCCATAGCCGAAGCAAGTGAAAGGCACGTTACCTATGGCGGTGGGCGCAATGGTCTTCCACATGCTAGGGCTCTAAGCAGGGCAGCTCTAAGCGGGGCAATGGTAATTGGCGGTGTGGGTACCACCTCCATGGCTCGAAGCTAGTGCGGCTCCCTAGACGGCACAAGGGCAAGGATGTGAGGGCTCATGAGCATGTGGCCTCTGAGATGTCGGGGCACGAGAGGTGCTCTCAGACCGACGCTTCTTCTCCTTATAGAGGGTGTTGGCCTCCAGACGATCCCTCTCCATCACCAGGACCTTATTGATCATCTCCTAGAGGGTGTAGCGGGTATGACCTGAGAGGGCCACCTTGAGGCATGTGTTCAGACCCTTCTTGAAGAAGTATATCTTCTTCTTCTCGGTGTCTGTCTCACTGGGAGTGCACCTTATCATACGAGTGAAGCGGTTAGCATACTCCTAAATCTTCTGGGACCCCTAGGAAATGTTGCGGAACTCTTCCACCTTGGCATCCATCACGCCCTTGGGCACGTGGTGCTCGCTGAAGGCTTTGGTGAACTCCTCCCATGAGATGTGAGCGGGGTCAACGTGGGTGTCATAGTAGCTGTCCCACCATGCATGTGCGGTGCCAGTGAGCTGGTGGGCTATGACTCCAACACACTCCTTGTTGGAGCAAGTGGTTAGGTCCAACTTCTTCTCCATCTCACGCAACTAGTCCTCGGTGGCGATGGGGTCGTCGTCAGAGCTATTGAAGGTAGGGGGCCTTAGCTTGAGGAAACCCTCTAGCTTCCTCTAGAAGTCATTAGGTGGACCTCCATTGTGGCATAGTAGCCCCTCAGCCAGTGTCTCCATGAGACATGTCTGGCGGTCCATCACCTCAGATAGAAGTGGTGGTGGTGGTGGAGCATTGTCGCCCCCAGGTGGAGCGTCCTCACCCCTAGGTTAAGCGGCGGCACTGGCTCCTCTAGGATGGGCTCCTCCACGTGCTGCTCTCCAGTGGATGGTACCTCCTACTCAAGGTTGAGGGCAATGTGGGCAGCAGTGCATCCTCCTCCACGGCCACGGCCACGGCCACGACCACGACTAGCGGGCACGGGGGACGGGGAGTGACGGTTTAGACATTTAGAGCTAGGACACGACATCTTGCTTCAAACGTTAGGTCATGGGTTGTTAAGTATTTAGGTGATTTATTAACAACTTTAAATCCAACCATACACTCAAACAAAGAAGCAAGAACAACCATAAGAAGCATTAAGATCCAAGCATTTATTACATTAGTTTATTACATGATGATGTCTATAACAGCTACACTAGAAGACTCATGGGAAACCGCACTACACGCAGGTAGGCTCCAAAAGAGGGACATTCTACTCTACTCCAGAAAGCGAGTCATGTCTCATAGCCACGCCGGACTCATCATCAACACTACAACCACTACATTATTAGAGCATCTGTAGGAAGCTACTCCTGACTAGGTGGTGGGGTAGTGCTAGCATCCATCTCCTGGAGCCCTACGTCAGTGTAGTGCATACGCTTCATGAACTCCTAGGCCTCCTCGTACTCCTAGGTCGCTCTTGCCTTAGGAAATAAGTCCATAGAGCAGGCAACCATGTTGAGCTTGCAAGGATCTAGCAAGAACTCTTCTCCTTAGGGTGTCTTGCCGGTGACTCATGGGAGCTTAATCTGCACTTCCTGGTACTCCTTGTGGTGACAGGCATCCGACTTCCTCCTGGCCTTCTAGACTCTCTTTATGTCATCTTGTAGGTACATGGCAGTCTTCATGTACTCGATGAGGTGGACCTTGTTGGACACATTCCT